CAACAACTGTAGGACAATTCGCACGGAATCCCTAGAAGTAACTTAGCAGTACCGACTTCTTCAGATTACGTGGGAATAAACAAATCTTTTCGATGGCAAAGTGCTTCATTTTGAATGAAGAACCTAAAAAGGGGGGGCGGGGAGGGTGAGACCGTAATTCCCTGCAAGACCAGCTTAAGTAATTCAATTTTTCGATGACTCTCTAGGAACTGGGATTGCATTAGTACATGCAGCATCGTGCATGCATCGTGCTTTATGAGCAGTGTGTCCACGTGGCTGAAAAAGAAGGCCAGCTCACTATCATGTAGGGCTCGGCCTGAGACTGTTTCATGTTTATCAGCTCTGGAGCCGAGCTTGAGTAATTTTTTGTGTACGTAATGAAGGCGACGAATTTTGTTCACTGTTTCATAGATTTTAAATTTAAAAACAATGAGCCGTCTCCAGACAATTTGGACGGAATAAACAATAAGGTCAGGGTTGGTAGATTTATTTAATATAATTATTCGTCCGGGAAAGTGTCTAATTGCGCAATGCCACCTGCCAGTAGGAATTCTGGATGAAGAGCCTACGTATGCCTTCATTGTCCATTTCATCGAACCACCTTAAGTCAGTTTACAATGTTGTTTGCTCCCGTCTCCACAGGACAGCCTCTCCTGTTTACCGTAATTTAAGGCTGGAGGCCATTGGGGCCATACATTTGTCTGGGTCTGTAGGTGGCATGTTCAGAGCCCTGTTGCGTTCACTAAAAAGAGAAGAAAATAGACAGTTACGATTTTTGTATGTCATTGACTATTCCTACGCAAAATTTGTAGGTGTTGCACAAGTATGCTATCACTTAATATTAATTACCGCGCAAGTTATCGTTCCTGCATCACCCTTTTTGGAGCATACGGTGGACATCGATGGTCGAACGGTCATCTTGCCACACTCGCACTTGGGAGTATACAATCGCTCTCCAGCACATTCAAGAGTACCTTATTATTTTTTATTCCAGCATAGAAAACGGTCCGAGAAAGTGGTTGATTGTGTTTAGGCCGAGCGTTTTGCAGAGGCAGCAGAGTGCAACTCATTACTTCCCATACTGACAGCATAGGTAGCAACTAAGGGCCAGCACGCTTGCGTTACACGCGGAACGGTTGCGATAGCATAGAAAATCGAGTTTATATCTCAGGGGAAAAACGGAAAACGCTGGGGAACCCACTGAGTCCCTGGTTGCTGTATCGTACAGCGGCACAAGATTAGCGAAGGAAATATGTATGGATTTTACGCTAGTACTCGTGTATGGCAAATATTGCGTTATTGCATACTACTGACGACCTGTCAGTAGCTTGTTAATATTACGCGTCTACTCAGCAGCACTTGATGGAATTCGCCCACGCATTCATATCAGACTGAAGCTAAAAGGGTTTATTTCGTAGGATTGGCTCCAAGTTCATACGTTAATTTCCTCGTAAATTAAAGTGGCCAGCAGTAAGCTTTTCCCTCCCACACTAGGAGCAATGTCTCAAAAACGAGAGTAATAGATCAACTCAAGGATAATCCAGGGATTCAGTGCATTTCAGTTACACAAATGGCGTTCTCATATTCTCAAACGTGTACCATCGGCTAATAGGTTCCCGACACGTCTGTGTAGGCATGGACAATACGAGTGAACACTCGAGCCTCAGGGCGTAATTGAGAAGAAACAGATTTGATCGCTGGGAGCAGAATTTTATTCACCTGGCCTTTCGAAATCCGTCGCAGATCCATCACCAGGG